TTAAAAAAAACTAATTTATGGTGAATTTTATTAATGATAATATTTTATCTGATTTTATTATACGTCAAAAAATTATGAAAACTATATTTTTTATCAGATGTATATAATAACAATAGTTAAATCCATAATATTTAAATTAAAAATCATCAATATTAATATATATTTTTTAAAATTATTTTATAATCTCAATTTCAAAAGCATTTTTAACCAAACACATTAAACTATTTTTTTTTCAACCTCAATTTTAACTACAATTTTAACCAAACACCTATTTTTTTAAATCAACCTCAACTAAAAGTATTTTTTATAAAACAATTTTTTTTAAATCACAACCATAACAGTTACCACAATACCAAACACACTCTTAACATATCTGCTATTTTTAAATCACAACCACAATAGTTACCATAATACCAAACATCTTATATCCATCATCTTCCCAGAACCCACTCGGATCATAACTTCATTAATTCTCCTTTTTGCCTTACACAGGTTATGTCCCCCCAGGGGACCGTCCAGGCCATTCCATTTTCAAGCTGCATGAACGTTGCATGAAGAGTTTGAAGCTGTGGCGGCCAATTCATGGAGAAATTAACTTTGATTCTTCCCTCACGGATGCTCTCTCTAATGTGGCTAGACAAGCTCAATTTCTTGACAGAGATGTCTTTGGTAATATTTTCGGATGTAAGTAAACGACGAATTCTTGGTCGTGTAACTGAGACATTCCTTCTCCTTGTTCCCGAGGAGGATGTCCCTGCATGTACAGTGCAGTTTAGACTGAAGTGCTGGATGAAACTATCAGAATGATGAATGACCCTCTAATAAAATATTTGAGACAGCCTGAACCAAATAGATTGCCAATCAAAGAAAATATGAAGACAGAAATTCACGAAAAGGGTTGGATAAACCCTAATCACACTATTTAATCTATATATATATATATATATATATAATTTGCCAAAATCTATTCTAAGAAGAACAAAGATTACAGTAGTTTAAATAGACCATAATTAAAAATTCACGAGAAGGGCTAGATAAACCCTAGTTGCACTGTTTAAGATTCTCAATCAAAATATAATATGACAAAATCTATTCTAATTTTTTTTTATATATAATAGTTTGAGTAGGTTTATAACTAACCTCATTAATTTGGAAAGGAAAAGGGAATCCAAATCAAACACAGAAAACTAAAGCTACAATCCAAAATTAAAGAGAAAAAAATATAAAAACTAAAAAAATTAATAATATTTTTTAGGTATAGTTTGAAGACCTTCTTGATCTCGGTTAGCAGTGAATTGATCTAGCTAATCTTGTATAAATTAAATAAATACTAATATAACTTCCTAACTATAAATGTTTTTGTAGACAAGTCGAGTAAATATTTTTTTCGGCTTGAATTTATCCTTGATCTTTCATGAATATATTTATATTCACGTGTCTAATTAAGTAAAATATATTAGTATCCAAGTAATATCCTTCAAAATGGTCTCCTCCATGATAAATCCTTTTCAAGGTGCTTTTATATTGTTAGTTATTTTATATTAAAAAACTATTTTAATTTATATATTTATTTTATCTTATATTTAATTTTTATTAAATAAATAAAAATAATAAGATTTAAATACGTGATCACTTAGTTATTAAAATTATGATATATCAAAAAATTATCTCAATTTAATAATTTAAACTATTAAATAAAATTTTAAAATAAAATTTATATTATTCTCTAATATTCTAGTTATGAAAACTATTAAATAAAATTTTAAAATAAAACTTATATTATTCTCTAATATTCTAGTTATAATATTGCCATGTCACAGGAGCTTATGCACTCCATTCGCAACTTAAAAAAGAGGCATGGAAACTTAGCTATCAGAATTAATTTGGCCAAGGCATGTGATAGGATGGATTGATCTTGTGTGAAACCTTGTCTGAATTTGGGTTCCCTTCTAGCATTATTCATCGTATTATCTTGTCTTGTGTCTCAAATTTTTTATTTATATATATCATATCCAAATTTTCATTCAATATATGTTTTGGTTTGCATGAATATTTTTTCACAGAAATAAAGCATTATGATTATGGAAAATATTTAAATTGTATGTGATTTATAATTATTCTAGTTAAATGAAAAATGACATAGAAAAATATGATATATATCATAAGAATTTTTCTTTTTTTTAGTAAAAAAGTCTTCAAATCACCTTATAATGTTGAAAAATAAATTAGCTAGCAGGTTCGAGTGATGAGATACTTTGGCATTTTATCCAATTATTTCGTT